GCGATGCTGAAATTCAGATTCACCAAATGTTTACACAATCAGTACAATTTGCAGGCAGAGTGCGGACACCTCGCACCTTTGCATTTGCTTCTCAAAGTAGGTTTGTTAAATCTGGTATATTTGCGGCACAGTGTCAGCGTAATTTAATCCATTATTCACCCCATCTTGTTGCGTGGGCGTCAGCCATAAGAAGTCACATTACATAGCACACAACATATTAATAATGCGATTCACATATTTTTATAATTTCTTAGAAAATAAACAAAAAATCTAATTGTTACACATAATGATTTCTTGTGTTTCCTCGATGATAGCACGTGAGGTGAGGGTAATATGGTCATCCGGTTAATATGGTCACTTTCTTAGTGCGAAAAAACTACAGTCCTATTTGCATAGATGTCTATGTGATACGATAGCTCTTATATATAATAAACGGTCAAAAGGGCGTTGCTTTATCGACGTGATTTTTACAGCTCACAGTAAATATTTTAGTCAATTTTAGTATTGTGTAGTGTAGTTAGTTTTTTAAAGTTGATTTTTCGTTGTGTTCATAATTATTGCCACAGCTTGTTTGTTATTATTTTCTTAATATATCAGTTATAGCATACGACTTTGTGTTGTTGTCTCTCTAATTCTCCTAGTTTTGGTTTCATATGGCAGCAAAGCTTAAGGTGACTATATTACCCGCACGTACCTTACTACACGTTGAATAAAATTATATTACACCTAATTGTAACCGCATTAAGATCGATTCCCTTATTAGTACATCGTAAATCGTGTGACTTAGAAACTATAAAAATTTAAAAACCATCCTAATTTAAATAGAGAAGATTTCTATGTGCCTTTTTTTAGATTTCTATATGCCTTTTTATACGATAGGGTGACAAACAAGCACACAGTCCACCTGATGGTAAGTGGTTGCTGCGGCCCATAGACATCTACATCTATCCTCGATCACGAATCAAAATACATGCATTGTCACCCGTGAGGACTTAGGTAGAATGCCTCGTTTCCAGTAAAAAGGGTCTCCGGTTCTCTACATTCACCATACGAAACACAGCAGCATTAAGCTGCTATTCTGTGAGAGTGTGGTCCTTCCCCGGTCGAGGCGACTCATTCGTGCTACAACTATACTACTAATATAACTGCAGCATGGCTCTACCACGTAAAAAAGCCACGTAAAACATGTATAGGATTTAACGCTACTGTTAAACAACTATTTAATTTTGTAGTATTTTTGTAGAAAATATATGACATGTGGTAGTAAGTAGTTGTTGAGCACTTCAGGCATCTTACAAAATCGGTCAAGAGCATGCAAGTGCTGCACAATTAGTGCTGTATGCTACCAGTCTCCCGGTGCTGATAATATGCAAGGGTAGTATTAAAAACTGAATGATTTTCTTTATTAAAATTGACTGACTCAGATCAAACTTTTGAAAAAAGGCTGAAATTGAGGACTTAAAAATGTATTACACAATCTTCGCGAGTTCATTAAGTTTAGATGAGTCCTTTTTTGCCGACAAATTTGTTAATAACTTGACTACAGCGTCACCTGATAGATTCCAGCACACCTATGGACTATCGTCTCGATAAAAGAAAAATATTGTATGAATAGTACCTTAATCGGTGAAATCATGAAAAAGGGACTGTTTTGAAATAAGACTAATAAAAATAGAAAAGATTGCATTGATTTTTTACATAGCTAATTAATAGATGTAATATGCTAAAGAAATAAACATGAAGTCTGTTGGTTTCTTAAGTCCTTATATATGGCAACGCGCTTGTAGTCTTCTTTGCTTAAATATAGTAGTAGTTAGTTCAGTAGCCTCCTACAATCAGATGGGCTGTGAATTTATATGTTACTTCAGTATTATAAAAAAACATGTGTGCAATTCACACGCGGTAGAAGTGAAACCTTCAAATGAAATGAAATATGAATTAAAAATGTTTCACGGCAAATTATTTATTTACATGATAATTGATAGAATCAGGCGTTATTCTGCGGAAATCCATTATATTTAAATTGGTAAGAATTACATCGCCCATATCCGCTCAATAAACAAAGTGGTCAGCCAATGCAGAGTCTACATCACCTGTGAATGTCTCGTGTAGAGGCGAAACACGTGTCGTATTATCGTCGAAGGTGTGTCTTTCCTAGTGTAGTGGTGTTGGGAGCAGTGGTGCTGGGAGTAATAGTGATGGAATTAGTGCACGAAATTGTGGGAGGGCGGGAGGTGCTCTTCAACCTAGGTAAGATACATCATTTTATTTTATTGAGCGGATATGGGCGAAGTAGTAACTCTTGCCAACTGTAATTATTTAATATGATAATTTTCAACCACAAGTGCGGCATAAAATATAAGATAAAAGTTTAATTATATAGCAAACAGAAATAAACTAAATTATTTTAGTGTAATCAATCAAAATAATATTTTCTTTCCCGCAAAATTGCTTTGTAATAGCGCCATGTACTCGTACTTCATTCTAGGTAAAGTCATTTTATCGAACAAAAATTGATTGACTCTCAAGGAGGTACGTAAAATAGCGAAATTATGAAATCGTGGACATTTTATAAACGGATTGGTATATTAAGATAATTTTATTTAATATAGTTAATTTTATTTATGTAATAAATTTGTTATTTTTTATTTTAACTGTTAAAATTTATATTAACTATATTTAAAAAGCACCGTACGGAGAGAAGACCAAGATAATAGGAAACACTATGTTATAAAAAAATACATAACCTTTTGAATACGTAATGTATTATATCTACAATCTTATCTCATTCTCTCGCAGGCTAAGTCCTATAAATGTGGTCTTTAGTGACGCAAGTATTGTAAAGGAGTTTTACTAAAAGAAAAAAACATTTCTAAGCCTCTTAATCCTCGCGACTCCATTAATTTAGGAAGTTATT